GCCGCCCACCCTAGCACCGCCCGCTTCACTCAGCCCCGCCCCGCTCGGCCCCGCCCGCCCGTCGAGCCTCCTAATAACACGTAAATCTCGCGAGCGCACCGAGCAGTTCGAAAAAAGTAAAGCTTTTTCCTCCCCGCCTGCAACTGTACGCGATCTCCTTGGATCGCGTTGGCCCCGGCTGCGCAGTCGCAGCTCGGAACCGCTGCTTTAACCCAACCCCGGAAATAACATCCGGAGCTTCCGTTGCAAGCCGGAAGTTAGCTAGAGAGTGAGTTGCGTCCGTCCGTCCTCTTTAGGACGCCGGACTACCAGGCAGCCATCTTGTTCAAGGGTGGTCTATCAACCGCTGAGACAAACGACAGTAAAAGGAGAAAGAGCAACCTAGCTATGTTAAAATGGGAAAGGATGATCATGATAACAGTGAAATGTTCCTGGAAGTAGCAGTTTCTCAGTAAGTTTTGGCTGCCGCAGACGTCACTCGCCTAGCATTTCCAACGTGATGACGTCGTCGCGGGCCGCGGTAGGAGGTGAGCAGCTCTGGCCACGTGATAGAGGACGGAGTGTGGCTTGGGTTAAGGTTGCGGACGAAAGGCTCCTCGTCCGGGAGACTTACGTTAGAGGTGCCCTTTAACTGTTAAGACATTCTTTTCCAGTGCCTTTGCTTTTTTTACTATCCTTTCTGTTAGTGTGTAGGTCTCACGCATGTTTGCATTCGATATTAGTGATGCAGTTGACCATGAGGGAATGTAGTATGACTTACTGCAACTGTTCTGGTTCTAGCATTCCTGCGCCAAGGCGCAAAGAACCCCATTTTTCAGATTTTAGTTTCTGGGCTCACCAAGACGTTTACAATACAGTTGAATATAACATATAGCACTTCAGAGGTTAAATAACCAGCATTCAGCTCTATAGAATAGCGATTAGAATCAGCAAGTCAGAGAAGGTAAATGCTAGAGAAATGCAGGCTGACTACTATCACAGTAAAAAATCGGAAATGCCCTACATAAAAATGATCGCAATACACAAAGTAACGATAAGGGAAAGAAGCCAGATAAAAGTTCATAATGAAGTTAAACCAGCAAACATATACGCTAATGTATTAAAAATGAAAAGAGGGAAAAGAAAAAATATAAGAAAAGGAAGAAAATGGAAACAAAGTTTTTGTAAATAGGCAAGGGTGGAGGGGGTTAACGGAGGGTAGGGGAATTGGGGGAAAATAACCAAGATACATCATGTAAAGGTACAAGATCCCAATGATGAATGCAACTGTACTGTATACCTAAAATGTACCAATAAACTTAATGGAAGAAGTGAAAAAGAAAAATGAAGATCATCTTTTCTAGAGGGAGGAAGACAGTGACAGAGACGTTCCACTAGGGGGCATTTGAAGTTAAGGTTATAGGTGAGTGCACTTTTTGATAGGGATTTTACTGAGCTGTAAAGTTGTATTTGTGCGATCTCTTTTGAAGATTATACTTAAGGCTCAGGAAATATTTTTTTTTCCCAGGTGATAAAAATATTACTAGCTGATGGGAGGATTACTTGACCCCCACAAGCGGAAGACAAGTTCACATGAACTAGTGGGTCCCCATGAATGTGAACTTTCATAGAATGAACTACAAGCTGTGTATTTTATTATACATAGTTATAACTTTTTTTTATTAGAAAAAGTGTCCAACCAATAGCCTGGAATTAAGTACGGAATTGGAACAAATATTCTGTTGTTCTGGATGAAAGCGCCTTAATTGCTCTGGCCAAAGGATCGTATTGAGTCTTTAGTATCAGCTCCTATATCCTGTCTTGTAGCAACTCTAGCTGGCTTAATCTTCAAAATGTGTCAGGAATCAGACCACTTCCCACGTCCCACATTGTTAATCATCTGCTATCACATTTCCTCCTTACCTTTTTTTTCTTTAAAAAACGACAGTTTTATCATTCCTTGAACTCACTGGGTTTGCTCTTCTCGCCAAGTCTGTACACTGTGCTTGCTTTCTTCCTGGATTGTTCTAATGGAGCACAAAGATCCTTTCCTTACTGCATTTAGGTCTCTTAAAAATGACACTGGGGAGGATCCTGAAGACTGTATTAGTCAAAGTTGAGTCAGAGAAGCAGGATTAATAGGAGAGATTGAATAAGGAATTGGCTTACATAGTTGTGGGAATTGGCCAAGCAAGTCCAAACTCTACACCAGGCAGGCAGGAATGGAAGATCACAGGAAGGCAGTGCCCCACGATTGGTAGCTTTTATGCATAGGAAGTCGGAGAGAAGAAAGAACTAGGCAGAACTCCATTCTTCTCCAGGAAACCTCAGTGATACTTTTAAGACTTCCAAATTGATTCAGTCAGGTCCATATGGATTATCGAAGACAGCTCCCTTATCCAAAGTGAACTGATTAGAGCTTTAAAGACTTGTGCAAGACTATTCATAATAAAATGTAGTGTTTGATAACAGGAGTGTAGACCAGCCAAATGTACATATCGAAGACCATTGT